TCTCCTCTGGGTCTGACCCGAAGTCCCGGGACCCGATGCCATTCTGAAGGTTTATTAGCGAGTCCTTCATCTGCAAGACAAGAAATGTCTCCAATGTGACGCATGAGGTGAGAGAGCTTTGGGGCTTCCCTTCCCCACAAGTGCCTGTCACTTGCCTCTTCTTTCTACGCAAGGTATTAAAACCATATGCATCTCTTTTTTAGAACTGGTGGGATGTGCAAGCACGGAAACAGGCCCTGGAAAGTCAGCCGGTGACAGCCTGTTTTAGCAAGGTGAGCAGGAGGAGGTGCAGGCTGAGCTGCTCCCTCCCTGCTGGGGGGCACCTTTCTTCCACAGCCCCTGTTACAAGCAGGCCAGTGGGCAACCAGCTACATGGCAGTGCTGCTGAAACCGCCCTCTTTGTAGCACTGAGCACCAAGCAGAGCATGGGGGAACAGCGTCCTCTGAGAGGACAGTGCTGGCTGTCCAGAACGGCATCCTCACCTGGTCTAGAAGCATCACCGACGATTTGATGATCTCACGCCATTTCTGTAGCTCTGAGTCGTGATACTTCTGCTGAGATTCTAATAACTGGGCCCATTCTGTCTGAGATTGGGGTAACCTGTCAGGCACAATATGAGCAAGAGTGAATCCGGGAACACTAAGGCCGAGGTGGGGCCCAGTGCACAGTGGGGTAGACTGTGTTGAGTTCTGCCCAGTCTTTCCATCCAGGAGGCAGTTTCCCTCCCTGAACAAGTGTCTTCTAATGCTCTTTGCGTGTTCCCAAGCTGCACATAGCTGTTACACTGTCCATGCAGGGCAGGTGCCAGCGGGGAGGCAGTGCTGGCCCCAAGGGGCAGCCTCCAGCTGCACAACATTAGATGTAACGGAATAAAAAACGTGACAATAAAGTAATGCATCCAGTGCTCATGGTGGAAATCCTGGTCTCTACAAACTAACACTTTGTAACAAAGGTGGCTTTCCTTGTCCAGATAGAGGGGTTACCTTTGCAAGTACATGTCCATTACAAGAAGCATACATGAACTGCATGAGCTCTATACTACACACTAACACAAGAGTATACAGAGACATAATAATAATATATATATATAACGGA